TGTCAAGGTACAAGAAGGACATTTTTTTGTATTTCTGAATTGTAAACAGTCGGCTGTAGTAGTGGTATCCCCACTTTGTCGTACTAGTCTTCCATCTTTCTTTACCGAAAAAGCATAAATTGATGGAAAGCTAAAAATGCCGCCTCTTGACTCCCGACACCCGAGAAGTACTGATCTTTCTAAAAATTATAGTGACGACGCCGTATAGTGCCGTGACCGTAAATAAGTAGTTGGTTAACCCGTTGGATTTGTTAAGGTAGGAACCGTATATTTTTTTATATTGGCTTTCATATAATTAGTTGGGACACCCGTGTTACCGAACAAGAATTTTGATTCATACCCAGGAATTATTATTTCATCCCTCAGTGGGACCCCGTTGGCAATTTTTTATTTGAGGTTGGATATGGACTAGACTCCGAGCGCTCTCTTAGTCTATGGCTAAATCCAATTTCCTGTAAAAACCGCCCAGTTAGTATCGAAGTGAGAGGTTTGACCTGTCTCATTTTTTTTTATTATTTATTGTTTTAATATTTTTTTTTGGAAGTTGGAACTATCCTCAGTGTAGAGTGCTCTCTTCTGACAACGTATCTAACTTCCCAAAAAGAAAAATAAACGTTTAAATTAATTTCCGCGCCTCACTTCGTGTAAAAATTATTTTCTTTTATTTTTTATTCAATGGTATTTGAATCATTCCGTATCTCCTGTTCACGTCTAGTTATTGAATAAAGTCAGACGGCTCCTGTAAAATTAAATTCACACATACTCTCTCGTTAGACGCTGGACAAAATTCGTAAATATTATTTTTATGCGATCGCCGATCCAAAACACCGTGTAATAAACCTTATTTATCAGTAGGCGAGAATTTTGCGTTTCCCATCGATTGGATAGTAAGATACAAGGGGACTCCGACAATTCGGATTTCATTTATGTGCTAGCATCTGATTTTCGACATATTTAAATTATTTTAAGTGTATTAATTTATTTTCATACATTTTCCGTATACTGGGCTTTTCACGATTCCCAATCCGATTAGCCTCCTGAGCTAATAAACTGTAAATATTTAAAGGTTTAAATAATTTTCAGTATTAGTAATTTATTTATTTAATTTTCCCGATATAGGGATCCGTTAATGCTGAAATAATTTTCAGTTTTAGTAATTTATTTATTTAATTTTCCCGATATAGGGATCCGTTAATATTTATATAGTTTTAAACTTTAATAATTCATTTATTAAATTTCCCAAAAATAGGGATCCGTTAATGCTGAATTTTCAGTTTTAGTAATTTATTTATTAAATTTTCCAGTTATAGGGATCTGTTAATAATTATATAATTTTCAACTTTAATAATTTATTATTTAAATTTCCCAAATATAGGGACCCGTTAACGTTTAAATAATTTTCAGTCTTAGTAATTTATTTATAGAATTTTCCTGATATAGGGATGTGTTAATAATTATTTAATTTTCAAGTTTAATAATTTATTCATTAAGCTTTACAGATATAGGGATTTGTTAAAATTTAAATAATATTCAACTTTAATAAATTTCCCAAATATAGGGATCCGCCATTATTTAAATACACTCTTACTTTGTTAATTTAATTTTATTGTTTCTTTATGTAATTCTGTTTTACCGCCGTGCCAGACCAGTGTACCGGCACTTTTGTAATTTTCTGTAAATATATATTTTATTATCTATTTCTGCGTTTCTATTATTGCTGGTTCTTGACCGTTCTCTTTCAGGGTACCGTAGGGTACGAGGTATTAAGAAGATAAGTGTTTGGTTTATTTATTTTTTTTATTTATTCTTATTTAGTGTTGACTTAGCAGTGACCGCCTGGAATTATTTTTACCTCCACTGAGTTCACCTTGAGTACACCCTGGTGTACCACAGGGTCGCAGAGCAAACTGCGATATCAAAACTGGCGCCTGAGCAACTCCTATTCGGGAATTACATTAATAGCGCCACAGACTCGTTGATTCACAGCAGGTGAACCAGGAGCCTGTCACAGTACTTACTTCTCTTATTAAAAAATATATTTAAATTTAAACAAATATAATCATTTTAATGTTGTTACCAAAAATTGTTTTTTTCTACGACCGTGTATTTTTACCCACTTTCCCGCACGCATTTTAGTTTTGAAAGTGTCACTTTCCCGCACTAGTGCGGGAAAAAATCACTTTCTCGCACTAGTGCGGGAAAGTAAAATTATGAATATTTGGCCTTACCTATTGTATAGTTTTATTACCTCGGATGTTATAACTATTGTTACAATAGGTAATTTAGTATTTTCCAACTATTCCATTTAATAAAATTTACTTTTTTTCTTGCTTTTTGTTATAATTTTAATTTTTTGGAAAACTTGAATAATAGAGATATTTTTATATACCTTCTGTATATTTTTAAAAGTCAGACTAGGCTGTGACATGTATGGCTTGATATGGTTGCTATATGGTAACCAAGGTGTGTTATTGTTACAAAAACGTCAAAGTTGTTTGTTGAAGCGTCAACTGAATTAAAATAAATTAAAGAAATAATGGATTCATCGGATGAATAGCTGCCCGAAGCCATTTTAAGAGCTGCAAATGAAGCACATTTGGAGGTGTTACCTGCCAAATCACGAGGAAGATATGAAAAACAATACGACCATTTTGTCACATGGTGTAAACAGGAAGGGGTAAAAACCTACAAAGAAGAGGTGTTTCTGGTGTATTTTTCGCACCTAAGTAAGTTTTTGAAATCTACTTTATGGTCTCGCTATTCGATGGTGAAAAGTTTAGTAAAAATAAAACAAAATTTGGATATAAGCCAGTTCCATAAGTTAACGTTATTTCTAAAACAAAAAAATGTTGATTTTCGAGCACAGAAGGCGCAGGTTTTTACCAAAGAAGATATATCCAGGTTTATGTTAGCCCCTGATGAGGTATACCTTATGATTAAAGTGAGTACCATTTTTGCTTTAGCTGGTGCTCTCCGCAGAGCGGAGCTTGTAAATATCACTCTCGATGATATACAAGATAAAGGCAATCTGATAGTTGTGAAAATTTCCGATTCCAAAAATCATTCTTCAAGATCATTTGTTTTATGTGAAGAAATAAATAATGGAAACTTTCTGAAGCTGTACAGAAAGTACGCAGGTTTACGACCACCTACCACTCCGCATCGCCGCTTTTTGATTAATTATAAGAAGGGAAAATGCTCAATTCAGTGCGTTGGCGTAAACACCTTTGGTAAGATGCCAACAGAGATTGCTGCATATTTGCGTCTACCTAATCCTGAACGATATACAGGACACAGTTTTAGACGTTCTTCAGCAACATTCCTAGCAGACTCAGGTGAAGCGATAACCAATATAAAACGTCTCGGTGGCTGGAAGTCCACTACTATCGCTGAAGGCTATTTGGAGGACTCCGAAACACAGAAGAAAAACATTTCGAATAAAATTCTTTCAAATAGAAATGACTTGCAACCTTTGCTGCCACCGTCATTTTCACCTTCATGCGACCTGCAACCGATATCACTCCCGTCCACGTCATCTTTTCAATCTACGAGCGTTACGCCAATTAAAACCAACTAATTCCTCTGTACCGGCAATTTTACATAATTTACAAAATGCTACAAATTGTGTATTTAACATTAATATCCATAATAATTAGTTGTTTTTATTTAAAGATTTGTATATGTTGAAATAAAATAATTTTCCAAAAATAATTTTTCCTACTTTTTTGTATATACGGTCGTAGAAAAAATAATGTTTCTAACTCATGCGTAAAGTGTCTTTCCCGCACTTGACCGCTTGCCAACTGCAGTCGCGTGCGGGAAAGTAACACTTTCCGCACTATAACTATTTTTTTTTTGTATTTTACAATTCGTTTGTTAATGTGCGTTTTGTATGTTTTTAGCAATTGTATTTTATGATATTCTAGCGTGTTTTGTTATGATATTCTAACATATTTTTAATTAATTATAATATTTATAAACAAAGTATTATTAATTTTGAGAATTTAACATTATTAACCATTATATTCATGTTAACATCTATTATCTAGTAGAAATAATAATGTTTTTTTATTTTGTATCATCGGCATCAACTACTAGCTTATTAGCCTCATGTTCTGTGTAGACTTTGTAACTGTTTCCCAGCACCACTTTGGGAACAGAACTATTAATTAAAACCCAACAGTGAATGGTCGAGCGGGGAATCATGCCTATGAATTCAGATTAATTTTTAATTAAATAAATTAAATTAAAATCCGAGCACATTATCATTTTTTTCGGACTAACTTATTTTTATTTACATTGTGTTACTATTTATTTGTAAAAAAAAATATTGACGAAGTAAATTAACATTATTGTGATTATAATTATAATATTATGATGGTGGGTCATATTTGATATTTTCTCTATTTAAATTGTAGTTTAGAATGTCGGAGGGAAAGGGAATAGCACATTACAATTGAATATACGATAAAAAGGTATCCTCTTTAAATAAAAAACGACCTTTTTGCGATTTTCTAAAAAACAGCCTTTAATCCTGTACAATAGAGGGCCTAAATGAGGTCCCGGAGGCAACCCAGAAGTAACATTTACTGCTAAAATTTACTGATTTTTATTCAAACTATATTGAATATGATTTGACGTAAAAAACTGTCCATTAAAGCAATTTTAAAGTGTATAAATTTATACTTCGTCTACTGGGCGATTTAATAACCCGGCAACTTTATAACCCGGCAACTTTGATAAATTTAAATTACTTGATAATTTATATTTTTATTAAAATTTGTAAAAAAAATAACCGATTTTGTTAAAGAATGTTACTTATAGGGTTGGTATAACGTTATTTTAAAACGACGATTTTGAGCCAGCCCCCAAAATATCGCCGCAATACCTACGCAAGTAAATGATTTACGATTTATTTTTTAAAACATTATAAATAAATGAAAAGTAAATTCCATACACTCATAACCTAAATCGGATGATTGAAATCAAGCAATTCCTACCCCATTCTCGCAATCGACTACTGGTCGCCGATGGTAGGTCATCCATCACAAGCTGAAGATATAAATCGCCGAACAGGGTGCACCACAGGGACCGTGGCCAAACAAACGAATTCTCGAACCGCGATCTCGGCCAGAAATCTAGTAGGCGCGATTTTTACGAATTTACTACGAGTCTACGATTTACATAAATAGACGAGATATTTGGAGCGACCCGACTGCATGTTGACGTAAGTCACACACACATACATTCAGTAGAGTAGGCAAAAATCGATGCCTGGTCCACAAGTATCAAGCGAGCGCCGGTCCGTGACGTCAAAAGACGCTGACACAGAGGCGGAGCACGTAAAGGGTCGATTTCGTATAGTTTTTCGTTTACTCCAGATTCTAATACAAACGAATCTTTAACCATACCCCTATCCCACGTAATCTGGTAATAAACAGACAGTTTAATGAAAATGACCGTTCTTAGCGACTTTTATGACAACTTAAGTATTAGTGACTTCAATGACATGTTTGTATTTTACCACAGATTACGAAGATGAGATACTACATTCATGCCGTAAAAATAAAGCTATGACCTTGGACATTTAAAAGGGGATGTGCACACTGTTGCCAATACATGTGTCTTTTTATCCAACTGTTGCAGCAACGTTGGCATCGGTGCGGTATCTACCTGTCTTTTATTTTATTAATCTATCAATGATGAACTAACAGCGCTGTCTTTTTATCCAACGTTGATGCAATCGATGCAACACCATTCCATCATTTCAATGTATGGTTTATCCGATTAGATGTGACAACTGACAGGTATGGATTGCTGGAATTAATCAGAATTAAGGAGTTAATTAATTATTTAATTGTTTTTTTTTGTGGGAAAACCAAAAAAATGGGATTTTAAAAATATATGCGTACAAATGAAAGTAAATAGGTACATTCAAATAAAATTATAAACACAAATGTTAATCCAAAATGTCAACTGTTATTTATTTCAACGGTCAACCATAAATAAATCGAATCCAACAAAAGGCGTTCAAGGCCGCATCGGCGAAAAAACGATTAACCGGTGGAAAAAAAGACACACGTAATGTGATTTATATATAATTGTATTTCATGGGTATTTTATTGTAAATACCGGTTTTTATGTATTAGAAAACCTTCCGAAATTATTAATAAAAGAATATCCGAATTGAATAAACATATGTAACCATAAAAATTCAATGAAGTTTTCAGTTAGAAATTACGAACTATATTAAATAATTTTATTATGTGATATTTAATTTAGTCGGATATTGTTCAACTAAGACAGCAAACATAGTCCAATAGACGTCCTTTAGATCCATTTGAGGGTCAGAAGTCAGAACGTCCATAGTAACATGGAGGAAGGATAATTAAGAGTTGCCGTTTCTTTGTATAAATGTGGCAACATGTTTGCTATCAGCGCCAAACGGGAGGGATTTGTCCAACTATTTCTCAGTCGGTAATATAGATACCTGCATATTTTATTTTATTTAAAAATTAGCGGGATTTTGTTTGTAGTTCTACTTTAATTAGTATAACTAAAATTTTACATTTTTATTGGCATTTTTTACAGCACAGACAAGGTGCAAGATGTAACAAAATGCCAATCAAAAGGTACAATTTTATGACCCATAATTTTAGGAAGTGTAAAATAATGTAATATAAAATAATTTTATTATCTATTATATCATTAAAACTAATTTATAATAAATTTTCTAAATAAACAATATTTTAATAAAACAACTAAAACTTTCTGTAAACTTGGGTAGGTAACAAAACACATGAAGGAGAACCATCCATATAATCTGAAACAGAAAAAAATTAAAGTAGTATTTTAACTTCATATCATTTTGAATCTCTTTTTTCTTTTAGACATTGTCACAGTTTTATACTTTCATTATAATATTTTATAATTAATAATGGTAGTCCGTCCATCTTTTTTAATTAGATGTAGTACTTTTAGTACTTTTAAAAAAACAGATGTCTGCAGGATTAAGCTTTGAGGTCCTTCTTTGATTCGCAAATTTTACTTTGCTGTTTTCTAATTATAAAATAGAGTTTTTTCTTCCTTGGAGCTAACCATTCACTGTTTTGATTTAAAAATCCAAGATCTAATTATTGTTTTTTAGGTAATAATTATATTTCATTGGATGAAATTTTAATCGAATGTAACTTTCTTGTCACTGGTAATTTGTTTGACGGTATGATAACAATATTACTTTAGTATTACTCTTTACTGTTAATTTAGCTTTCAAGGGTACCAAAGGTAAAGCCAATTTATGTAACCTATAAATGGTTTTTCGCAAGTGGAATGATGAAGTTTATGCGGCATCATTTAGTTCCTTGCTTAATATCGGAAGGAAATAAAAAAAATGTGTTCTTAAAATTTACAGCATAAATTGGACAGTAAATTGTACTATTTACCTTCATACAAACAACGCTTTTACAATTAGATATTATGAATTTATTACGAACAGGACATGCTAAACACATGTTAAAACATCAAAATATCTTTGCTTAATTTTAAATTTAACATGTTTAACTAAAACTAAAATTAAATAAAAGTAAAAGTACTTACCACGTTTTATTCAGCAACCATAACCATATTATTTTGTTCAGTTTTGTTATTGTATCGGTTCGAACGGGTGACAATCCCAAAGTCAGATTTACATTGTACAAATAATTGATCAATTCATGTTTTTCAAATAATTGTAGTATTTATATAAATATATAATTTTAAAACAATACTTACCGTGTATTACTTTTGTTCATAAGCGAAATATATTTGAATTATTCAATTATTCAGTGTATTTTAAATTTAAATATCATTTTATTATTGTAAAACGGACTGATATGCGCGGATGTGTTGCGCACTAATCTGTTGATATAACGCGCATATGTTATAAGCCCCCCTGCATAGTAATTTCTGTAAAGTGTTTGAGATGTTACTTCAAAACAAGATTTATCATCACGTCAGTAATATGATATCAACAGAACAACATGGATTCATGAAAGGCCGTTCCACCCCGTTACCAATCGTATAGCTGTAACCAGAGACAACAGAGACGTGTAACTTAATAGGAAAATATGTTCGGTGGTCCATTTAAATTACATATATGACCCTCTTTTTCTTTTACATTGATCTTTGCATATGTCTATCTCTCTCCAATAAAACTAACACCATTTTCAGAGGGCGCTGGTGTTGCTGGTTTTTTGACGTCAAAATATCGATTAAAAGTATTAAAACTGACAACTGACAATGTTATGAATGTAGTTATGAACATGTGCATTTTATTAAAATTAATTTAATTTGGGCCCCGTATATTTCTTTTAGTCTGATTTTGTTGTTTAATTAATTTTCTTTGGGAGGGAATGTTTATTTTTGCATATTATTTTTTGCATGAAGCAATTTCTGGAACCAAACTCGCGTTTTTGTACACATTTCTTTCTAGAGGTAAGTAATTTCCAATTTATTATGTATATGTGTATAATGTGTGTGTTTAATAATATATTACACAATGACTATAATTATTTTAGGTGACTTGGAACAGAGATCCATTGTTACAGCTACTTGTGTTCATTAAGTAGGTAGATGAATGTCTGGACAGCTTTAATGGCAGCACAAAGTTCCTATCTACTAGAAAAGTAAAATGTATGCTGAGTAAAAAATCTGCACATGTAGTATTGGCAAAGGACTTTTGAAATGATTAGAGATTAGCTATTTCTTACATACACCTACCTCTAACAGCCACTCTAAAGGAAGAAAAAAAAATTGAATCACAAAAGGGCAGAATTTTAAATCAGGATGCATTGGAAAATAAATTTGGGGACATCAGGTCGGTTTTGGATTTTATAGAGAGATCAATCTCAAGAAAAGTTAATTTATCCTGTAGAACAACCAGTAGTTTAAGTAGGATTTGCTATAACTTTATTAGAAATTTTCTTTGATAATAAATTGTAATATAGGTACCAATTATTGTTTCAAATGAAATTGAAAAAGAGTTAAATATGAAATTAGATTTTTCATGAGTAAAATGTTATATTCATTCTAACATTGTAAGGTAATCTATAATTAAGGGAATATGGAAAATAGGTATATCCTGGTGGTGTAAGAGAAAGGTAAGGGCAGTGACAAAAAAATTACAAAAATGTATTTATCTTTAAATAGTGTTTATTCTTAATAATATTATTTGCTATGTTTGAAAAGTACCTCCTGCTGCAGAACAGATCGAATAGATTAGACTACTAGTTGGAGAAGGTCCACCTAGTAACCAAATTAGGAGACTAGGAAAACTTTTACATGACTGGGGACACAACAGGAATGCACACACACAAGATACACAAACAAACAAAATAACAGGGGTAAGCCTTCAGCAACGTCCTGTTTAAATGATAGTATGTCATCCTTCATTTCCTTTTAGAAGGCATGACATATAAATCTATTGATCTTGATTACCCTAAGAAGAGTTAGCAAGGGGTGTACGGAATGGGTCTAGCAGGTTTCGATCCAGTTTACAGGATGGGAACTCGACTCAGGCCTTATACATTTGTGTTGAGTGTATGTGTGTTTGTTCCATTTCCATGGTTTCTATTAAAATAAACAGTCATAACATATCGATACCTTTTTGCCAGACTAACATAAGCGACATTTGTTCAAATGGCACTTATGATAGTCTGGCAAAAAGGTATCGATATACTCTATACTTTATAAAATATTTGTTACATTAGTTTTTAAATATATTATGAATATATAACAACTGTTACTTTTTTTGTAATTTGTCAAAAAATGATAGGAGGTACTTTCTAAACATAGCAATTGTAGTTTGTTTTTCTGTACCTTAAAAAAATATAATTTATAGAAAAAGAGTTTGGTGTATTATTTTTCCAAGTTTAAATATTTAATAATCAATAGAATTTTCAAGTTTTTTTAGCGAAATTTACAAGAGTAATAAAAACTATGTTCACTGCTTATATTAAACTGATTAAAATTTCCTTTATTAAAATTATTATTTATTTGATAAAAAATTTGATGTTATTGGAAGCTTTTATATTTTTTAATAAACAGTGAAACAATAGTTTTTGTTTCTCTTGTAAATTTGTTGTATACAAAAACGATTTCTGAATCCATGTTTGAATTTCCCGCCCTAAAGCATTTTTAAATTTCCCGCTATTTACTAGTGGCGTCATCATAGACTGGTTGTGGTTACAATCGCCCAAATAAGTTTTACC